TAAAAAATGGACACATGGATCCGACTGAAACCTCCCGTCTGTGCGTCGTTCTGACCTTGTTGAAGTGATGAACCCTGTAGAGTCCCCATGTCTCCCTGCCTGTGTCCGTCTCCGCTCTGTAGCAGGTGCTGCTGCACACCGTCCTGCAGTGACAGACGACAGCTCGTGTCAGTTGCAGTTACTCCAAAACAACGCTCAACCTGCAGCAAACTAGGAGCGAGAGGTGCTTCTAACCTGACGGGCAGGTCCTTCCAGTTTACTGCGTGATCCATGAAGTACCCTGAGGAAGAGAGACACAAATAGATGATTCCATTTTATACAAAGCGTAGGACAGAACCAACCCTGACCGGCTGATGTTGTTTAGATCGATGTAAAACACTTGTGTTCTTATCAGACACATTCCTTTAATCTGACGCCATTTGTCTGAATAAGCACCCTGCTCACTTTTCCACAGAAGTCACAGCCACCGTCTCACTGGGTCGGACCTGCTAACGCCTCTCTATCACTCCAGCACGACACAAGTCTGAGCTGAACGCCGACAGATGGGCACGCACAGGAACACAATAAACTTGGAGGTGTGTGAAGCGAGTCTGGCACCAAAACGGGTCCGAAAGCATCACAGAAAGCACAAAACACACAGTCTGCTTGGATAAATAAACGTCTTTCTTGTTTACTTTGGCCTACGATTTTACATCTATTACAAACTGGAACGTCCATAAATATCATAGACTGTATAACACAGATACATTATTATTATAATACTAAATATATTCTTACACAGCCTATGATAAATATACTTTTATGCTGCGATGAAGGCGGAGACAGTAACAGATCAATCAGGATGTAATAGCAAATGGAAATGTGTACAGTTTCTCTTCAGCTGAGTCAGTTTATAAGCTGCCGTTAAATCTTTTGTCACAAAGCCTGAATAGGATTTCAGCTGTATGTTTTTCTTTTATGTGTGGGACAACGGATGGAAATTAGCCTGGTGCTAAATCCGGCATATTTCCTGCAACCTTGTGTAAACTATTGAGATTGTACGTTCATTAATATGCACTGTAAAGTGATTTTGGATCAGTGCATTATTATACATTAAACCTGACTCGATTTACTGCTCAATCTTGCAAATATCACGTGTGCTCTCTCCAATACTGTGGCGGTTATGTGTTATGTGTGCTTGCATGTTTAAAAAAATGACCTACATCTGAAGGCCATCAGGTTTAACAGAATGACGAAGCCACGAATGTTTCATATCATAAGCCTGAAAAGGGCTGAAGAGGAACTACGACAGCTAATGCTGCTGTTAAGAAACTGAACTATAGATAGGTTGAATTACAGCTGTTGGTTTCTGCATGATGCTCCCTGAAGCCGTGGGTGGAATAAGTGTTCTGTTGAGTCTGACACCATTTAACACCTACAAAAAGCAACCATAGACCATTACTACCTGTTGCTCACTCCTTGTTTTTATAGCAGCAAACTAAAGTTTAAATCCCCACCATGTACATCTTGAGTTTCCAATGACTCCGATAACTCCGATTTTTTCTGTTGTCACAAAAAACCATCATGCATTTTAGTTCTTTCATAGATTTATTGTAGGTCTTGTGGAAATATGACCAAACCGTCTATTGCGTGCATCAAATGGGCCCAATTTAAATTTGCTGAGAGGAGTCAGCAGCTGTAGTTAATCACAATCACGAGAAGTTAAGATGCCACTAAAAAAATTTGATCAACACAACGTTCTACGTCACCAAAACTGATAAATCAAGTTGCTGTGTTTATTTTTTTAGCCAGCAGATTTTGTCATATTTCTAGAAGACCTATAATAAATTTATGAAAGAACTAAAATGCAAGATTCTTCTTTTGTGTATGACAAAGATTCACGTGTCTCAGTGATCTGAGAATATTCTGAATTAATGGAGTCACTGGAAACTCAACACTGCCACATGGTCTTTAGTGTATGTAAGCTTTTGTTCACGACTGTATTACAGTGATGCAGAATGGAGCTTTACCCGCCACCCCGACTTCTCCAGTCCCAGCCAGGTTGAGGTCTGGGAAACGTGCCGGGTCCAGTGAGTAGACCTGAGAGCGATGGGCATTGGGCTGCATCCCACAACCCTCCTGGAAGTGGACAAGAAAAGAGACGACAATGAGACAAAGTGTGAGACTGCGTCGCTGCACCCAGTTACACCACTTAAAATGAACACGTAACAACACATCTAACCAACACTTTGTTTATGTCACAGAGTATCGTGGTTTAATGCAATTTCTGAGCATTCAAATCCCACTTTTTTTCATTAAATAACACTCTGCTATTGTAGCACAGAGTTCTGTTACTCACAAACACCGCCGCCTTCAGCATGTCAGGCACAACCATGGGAATGAAGCCCTGCAGGAGTCGGAAGGAAAACTCAAGACTGGCTCGTCTACATCTCAAGAAAATAATAGATTTTTTTTTTCACTTTTGAGAGATCAAGTTCAATCATTTTAGATAAAACATGCGTACTCGTCGCTGCACTGTGTCGAAGGCGAAGTTCTGGAGTGCGATTTGAAGTCTGGCCCCTGCTCCCCTCAGATAGTAGGACCTGTGGCCTGAGACGTGAGCCAGATGCCTGCAGCGGAGGAAACGTAAAGATTAAATCAGTGTGGATAGCCTACATGAGACTAAATATTGCAATGCACAGACAGAACAGCAAGTGGAGCAGATGTTTAATAACAGCAGACTTGTCCTCACCTCTGCCTGATGAGCCCCAGCTTCTCCCCCAGCTCCACGTGGCCTCTGGGCTTAAAGTCAAACTCTACAGGACACATTTAATAATCTTAGTGTTTTAAAAGCTATAGGAGTCAAGCATGTAAAGTTTATTCATCCACACGTCTCACCACATCAATTACCTGGTTTCTGGCCAACGAGCTCCACCACCCTCGCCTGGCTTTCATCTCCAACTGGCTGAAAAAGGAAAGAGAAACGTAACCTTCACAGCAGATCGCCCCCGAGCTTGTCAGGACAAAGTGTGAGCGCGCAGTAAATCCTCACCACATCAGGGTGCGAGGTGTTGGGCAGCCTGAGCGCCCGGACGTAGTGCTCCTGGTCCAGCTCTGTCTCTCTGGAGTAGAGATGAATGAGTCTGTTGCGGATGTCTCGGCCCTTCTGCAGACTCTGGCTGTATTCTGGAACCTGCAGGATGAACAACAAGGACTCAGATGTGGGCCCAAGTGTGATTTATTACAGATCAGGGCAGAGACGAGGCAGTAAGGACGCCAAGATTGAATGAAGATAAAAGAATAGAAAGAAAAGAAGTAATAAAAGATAAGAGGTTGTGAAGCCGAACTTACATTGGCGAGGGCTTTCTTGTCCTTCTTGCTCTGTGAGGAAAAGACCATTTATGTAGCTGTAGCTTCATATATTCACAACTTGTGACGACACAAAATGTCAAACTGCAGCGAAAATGGAGGTTTCAGACGAATGTGTTAATTCTGAGAGACAGTTTGATGTAGATTGAATCCATAACAATGATGACCGATAATAAGCTCTACTCACCACTAGTGCTCTGACTGTCTCGCTGATGCGTCTCTTCTCCTCCTCCAGCTCAGAGATTTCTGTCCTCACCGCCTGGAGCTGCTGCCACACACAAACCTACAACACAAACACAGTCAGTTTGATGAAGTGAACAGCAAGCACAGTCGGCGTGAAACTGAAGAATTCAAGTGAACAAAAGTAAATTTAAACTCAACTTTTAGTCATTTCTTTTAGAAAAGCAGCAACCTGTCCTTTTATTTTGAATCAAGATAAACATAATGAGTCTACGGAGTCAAACTCCACATGCATGTGAACCTACTGGGTCTTATTAATTTCCTCTATTCATATGATGTTTATATTAAATATTTAAACTACATTATAAAATCTATTATAATTTGAAACAAGGCAAATTTCCAAGTCAGTCAGTAAGACTACTAAGTTTATTGTTTTATTTATTTGTTTTTTTTAATTTAGTTTTTATTGAATTTCCCTTCTGGGATAAATAAAGTATTTTTCATTGTTTCTTCATTTATGTGTGGTTACTTGATGAAGATATTTGTGTCTGAACGACATTTAGAAGCTCATGTTGCTGTAACAGTGACCTGCTGCTAAAGACAGTCACACTTTTAGGAAATAAAGATCCCATCACCACAACAAAAATGTGTTTTACTTTTTACTTCACTTCAAAGTTTCAACACCAGTCATCATACGGCCAGTAGAAGACTGCTTTAAGATTAATCTGCTGAAGTGGGAAAGTTCCTTCGTGCTCACCTTAAATGTGTCATAGTTTCATTGGCATTGCAATATTTACATCACAAAAGACTGCCTGAAATGTGATAAATAAGAGAAGTCATTGTATTTACACACAGGGTGCTTCTATGGTCAACATATAAATGTTTGAGCTGTCAGATGACATGAGGACAAGAGGAATCAGATGAATCCCAGCGAGCAGTCAGACACCCTCAGATTAATTAGTGCCACTTTGGTGGTGACTGCAAGGGAGCAGGGGAATTTAAACGTGATTTCTTGTGTCTTGCATAAATTTATGTTCTGTTTATTTGTTTTGATATTCATATGCAATTTCTTGAATAAATGCATCTTCAAAAAAGTTTGTTTATTCAATGGCCATTCAGTGTTTGAGGTCTATGCCAGCATTGCACCTAATAAACCAGAAACAAATGTAAAGCTAATATACCTAAATGTTTGTTTATTCACTGCAAGTCATGTGCACGTCCCTTAATATTGTGCACACCTACTTAAATCTGAGTTTTCTGCACATATGGATAGGATTTGTTAATGAGACACAAACCACAGCTAATGTTAATGGTATGGATGATAAATGTCATTGCTTTATAATGCAGCACAGAGGACTGATGAGCGCTTACAATCTTCCTGACATCGTCCCCGGTCAGGTCTCCTTTCCTGTTCTCCACATTAGCGATGACTTTGTCGGTCTCCTCGCACACCCATCTCATGTCCAGCTCCGGCTTGTCGCTGTAGCCTTCACGGACGTGTTCGTACAAACTGCTCCGGGCTCCGTGTGAAAGCCGCTGCTGGACGAACACGCGTGTCCTCTGCCTCGAACACTGCCTGGTTACCGGCTTTAACGCAGCCAGAGCAATGCCTCCAACTCTGCCAGCCATGCCCATGCAGGCCGCCATGTTTGTCTGCTAGGGGATGTCGCGTTCAGGCGTGTAGGAAATATCGCTACTGCACTCATTGTAGGCTTTTGGTCAGCTCTACTTGCGCTTCACGGTATTTGGATTAATGCTTAAATAATACATGAATATAATGTTTTCTTATTCTCTCTTCTTTTCTGTTTTGGCTGCTTGTGAGCAGAGGGAGCTCTACTTCTGGCTTCAAAACGTCCATTGTCTCCTTGAATGCAACACGAATGCGGAAATTATTATTTAAACGACTGTGAATGAAAACAAAACGGTTAGAAAGCACGGTTTTAACTTTATTTTAACGCGTTGGGTGTTTAACGAGACGGAGGTGACATAACGTCGAAGAAGCAGACGTTAATATTTACATTTTTCCAACGGCGGAAAACCAACAAACAGTCGTCACGAGTCAAAGGTCAGCCAATCAGAGCGGCGGAGGTTTACCGTTGCGGTAATCCGGTTCAGACATGACAAGTGCGGCCGACTGAAGCTCAACTCAGTCCTGCTTTCAGTCCCGTGGGCTTCAAAAACTCTGCCGCACCGGCTCAGCACCGAGCTGGACGTGTGTGCACAATGCCGCGGCGGACCGATGTGTGTTACGACGAGACGCGTTTGTCCGGGAGCAGTGCTCCCCCGTTAGGCTAGTTCGGTCCGCCAGGAGTGGTGATGGTGAGCACCGGGCTGGATGAGCAGCGAGTAGCCTGACGCGGCTTCACCACAGGCCGGGACGAGCCTTTCAGCTGAGCCCGGAGCCCCGAGACAACCAGATGCTTCCAGGTTCACGGAGAATAAACGGGGTACTCGGACACAGCTAGCCTGCTCCACACGGTCTCACCGATTCCTGCTCGAAGTGAGACCCAACCAGCTTTCACGGTGGAAACGAGAAGAAGAGCAAAGGTAAGGAAAGCTAAAACAAAAAACAAAAAACACATCCACATGCTACAGCAACAGTGTGCTGTGTCATTTAATGTAGGCAGCCTTTATGGAGAGTTACCCTGTGGTGAAATAGGACCACACCTGGACACCAGAGCAGGCCACAGACACACAAAGCTGTAATTACACTGTACAACACTAATATACAGGTATAGTGTCTGGATCAGGGATTTTCACAGGTCTTGTGTGGGTCCTATGTGTCCTAAGCCTCTGTTTATGAAAGCAGGCCTTGCATGCATAAAGGTTAATGTGTGGAACCTGTTGTGTGTTTGCTCACTTTAAGTGCATGATGCATATGTTTGTGTATGTGAACCCAGATGAACGCTGTGCGGGGGGGCACAGTCACCTGGCGTCCCCAGCCATGGCAGGACGGGGACGGGGGAGGAGGGGAGCCTCTGTCGGACAGCGACTCTGAAGAGGAGGACTTCCCCGACGACAGCACCACCCCGCTGGGGGACTACATCACACATGGTGAGGCAGAAAAACGACAAGGTTGGCCTTCCTCTACCTCTTTGTTGTCCCTCGCTTTTATTCCTCCCACCTCTTTCTCCTGTGATTTTTAGGGCTGAAGCAGCTCCTGGATGCTCAGCAGCTGTGTGATGTTACTCTGCTCGTTGAGGGAAAGAAGTTCATGTGCCACAGGTGAGACTGACTCACCGGACAAGGCAGCGTCTCACTTTATAGACACACACACTGGAAAGAGCAGCCATTTATGAAGGGTTTTGTTTTGTTGGATTCACTAGTAGATGTAATCTGGCATGTTACTGGTCAGCTCAGTCCTTTTAGAAAGCTGTAAAATGCAAAACTATCGTCTGCATGTGGTACGAATGAACATCTTCATCGTCCTTCCAACCTTCTCTCTCCTCAGAGTCCTTTTGGCCGCCGTGAGTCCGTACTTCCGGGCCATGTTCACCAGCCCTCTGGTGGAGTCCCGCCTCACTGAGATCCGACTGGAGGAAGTGACACCGTCTGTGATGGAGACCGTGATCCAGTTCGTGTACACCGGGGAAGCAGGGCTCTCTCTGGACACAGCCGAGGATCTGTTTGTAGCTGCCAACCGGCTTCAGGTCATGCCCCTCCAAGACTTGTGCTCCAGGTAAACTTTCGGCTTCAGGTGGTGATGGTTTTGCTTCGACATTAGCTTTGAGTAAACAAGCCAGCTTCTGCCTTTTGGATATTAAGCCCTCCTGTTTCATTTCTTTTTTGTCCTTCTCTCTCTGCTGCCTCTCTCCTCCTCTGTCATCTCTCTCCTCTCTAATCGTTCCAGGTTTCTATTTGAGCACCTCTCAGTGGATAACTGTCTGGGGATGTATTCACTGGCTCGCTCTCACCATGACCAGCTTCTGCTGCGTGCCTCCCTGCGGCTAGTAGCCCAGCACTTTCCCCGGGTGGCCCGGCAGAAGGATTTCCTGCTGCTGGACCACGGTACCTTAGGCAGCCTCCTGAGCTCCGACCGACTGGGAGTGGACTCTGAGGCGGAGGTCTACGATGCAGCGCGCCGCTGGGCAGAGCACCAGCCCTTGGACCGCTACGCCCACATGCCTGCACTGCTTCACCACCTGCGTCCAGGGCTGCTGTCCCAGGAGGAGAGCCGAAGGCTGAGCCAGGAGCTGGGGCCTGCTGCGGCAGGAGAAGGCCTCGGCGGGCCCCTGAGACCACGCGAGGGAATGTTTGAGAAGAAGATAGTCTGCGTGGATTTGACACCTCGAGAAGATGAGAATTTAGCTGCCAGAGACTACACCGTGGACTGCTTTGATCCTCGGACAGGGAAGTGGGAGAAGTTAGCAGCACTGGGTTCACTTGTGAGTCCCGGCTGCACGGCTGTGGGTGACAGGCTGTTTGTAGCTGGTGGGATCCTGCGGACAGGTTCTGTCTCTGCAGCTGTGCATGAATACGATGCTGTGTTGGACCGCTGGATAGAGCGGCCTTCGATGGTCCAGCCTCGGGCTATGCTTGGTCTGCTGGGCTGTGGGGAGTCACTCTATGCTTTGGGTGGCAGCAACCGCTCAGCCCTGCTGGACTCCAGCGAGGCCCTGGAGCTGACAACGCTTCAGTGGGGCCCCGGGCCTCGGCTGCCGCTCCCGCTGCGCGCCTTCGCCTGTGCGGCACTACGTGGACGACTTTACCTTCTGGGTGGAACCACGCTTGAACAGAACCGGGCTGTTGTCCACTCGGGTGTGCTTATTTATCACACCCTAACAGACTGCTGGACTCGTGTGGCGCTGGACTCTGGTGCCACCTGCCTCGCTGGAGGAGTAGCGGTGCGAGGGGGAGTCTGCGCCATCGGGGGATACATGAGGGATACTACAAAGTTCCTGGATGGGAACTACACCAACCTGGAGACTTTAGATGCTACCGGTCGTGTGCTGTTCTTTAGAGAGGGCAGGGGGTCGGGTGTAGAGAGGGAGGTGACGGGGGGAGGCGTGATGGTCAGCGCAGAGCAGCGAGGGGGTGCAGGTGGCGGAAGCGACCGAGCCCCGAGCCCCGTTGTTTTCCCCGGGTTGCCACGGCGGATTGCAGCCGGGGGTGTGGCCAGGTGGAAAAGGAGGATTTATGTGTTGGGCGGGGAAAACGGCTCGCGGTTCTATGACAGTGTGTACTGTTGGAAACCCGGCTGGCGCAGCTGGGTCCAGAGACGGGAAAAACTCCCTGGAGACACTGGAGGGGTGAGCCAGTTCGGGTGCACCACTCTGAAATTTCCTAAGAAACACATCCTGTCCAGACTGAGACTAGCCAAAGAAAACTGCAAGAAGCCCTCTGACTAGCCCGACTAGGGATCAGTGTGCCTGGAGAGGCAGCCGATCGTGTGTCACAGAGATGAGCTCCAGGCCGAACTAGCTCCTTGTTGACCTCTTGAAATTTTGGTGTGTGAAACCGAGTCACAAGGAAAACACTATTTTATACAGCCTGAGTGCAGCCGCAGAGCAGGCCTATGATGGACTGGATGGTATGAAGCGTATCATCATTGACAGTCATGCAGATGGAGATGAAGCGGAACCAGAAGTTGGTTAAAAGTCAGGCAACGTGCACCTGAATGTAACCTAATTCACTATACGTCAGAACAGTGAAGTCCTTTGAGAGAGAAAAGGGCCTTTGAGTAGTTTTCTTAAAAGTCTCATGTTATGTTCAGCTTGCTGCTGATGTAATATTTTTATGGCAGTTTGGAAATCACTTCAATGCTGTGAATTTCTCGTCAGCGTCTAGTTCAGACACAAGGATACCGGCACATTTCTGACAATGCTTTGTTCCACTTAATTTGCATAAACTTTGTGTTTTGTCTGACGCGGGCCGGTGGAGCCCTTCGACACTGCCAGAAAGGGCTACACAAATAAACTTGAGGAAACATATCATAAACCCACTTGCTTGTAGACAGTTTTTCCTTGTGTTAATAACTTTATTTATAGAGCACCTTTCAAGAAACAAAGACATTTTTACAGAGATGTGCGCAAAATCAGAAATAATTGCATGAAAAATACCGAATGGACCTCTGGATCTAAGGCTGCAGTCAGCGTTAAAAGGGACGATGATGGAGATGCTGCCTTGATGTTTATCTGTACAAACTTACAGTCAATTCCAGAACATAAAGGCAACATGTGAAGGGATGCTAAGCAGGTGCTATGTGAATTCTTTTATTAGTATCAGTGAGCAGTCCTGCTGCAGGAGTCTGCACCGGTAGAGGTTTGATGGATGGTATTGTATAAGACGGCGACTTACAGTAACCAGGATGTGTGGTTTCCCAGTGCTCTGTGGATAGAAATGAGCTAACTTTTGACATGTTTCAAAGGTGCATAAAGCAAGTATGAACAATAGACTGGACCTGGTGGTGAAAATGAAGGTTTTTGTTAAAGATAACACCTAAAGTCCTGCTCTGGGTTTTAATGCCAGAGAACAGGGAGCCTAAACGGGGGGAGACGTGCTCGGTGGCAGCGTCTGGACTCGTGATAACGAATGCTGATTTGTGTGAGTTTAGCTGAAGAAAGTCTTTTACATCTGTGGGGTAGTTTTGTGTTTTGTTGTAGTGAAGTGAGAACTAGGTCTGGGTGTCATCTGCATAAAAATGGAAAGTATAAAAGTGATGCTAGTAAAGGATTGGACAGCAATAGTCTCACGTAGCAGCGTGTCAGTGCTGGAGAATGGTCTGGCTGCACCTCATGATCATTCTGCTAAAGGGGGGAAGAGTGCTGCAGCCTGTTGGTGCTTCTTTAAACCAGTCTGAGTCATTTTGGGAGGGGGAAGGAGCTGCAGTGACTTCTGCAAAATAGTGACAGGGAGCTCTTTTAGCATAACAACTGCATGCAGGGATGCAAGAACTTCAATAAAAATGGTTAATTCCCTTCATAAAACATGCAGACTTGGCTTATTGCACGACTTATTCCAGTACTTGGGAAAACATTTTTAGCTTGAAGGTTGCTGCTCGAAGGTTGTTGTTGTTTTTGAAAACAGTAACATGCAGATATTAACGAGGGAAGAGCATCCTGTGTGAAATGGTAGGTTTACTCTCCAAGTCTACATCCGGTGAGTCAGACTAACTTGAAGAGCACAGCCCAAGCCTCGAGACGCTGTAAGTGGCACTCTGTACGAGCACTGGGACGAGTCAACAGGCCACTTACAATTCAATATTAAAAACACAGGAACAAACCAACTCGGGAGTTTTACCTGATGTTTCAACTCATTTGAAATCACGTGGCCACCTGCATTTAAAGCTGCAGCAAGATGTGAAAGCAGTGGAATAGATTGTTAGTTTTCCACAAACAGCAGCTGGCAGAAGAACTTACTTTCGTACTAAGAGGAGCTTTGTCACTGACGTTTATGAAGGCAGGGTTTTTCCTGGCTCAGAACGGGCCTGTAGGAGTTAGCGTGATTACTCTGCACACGCTACAGGGAGAGAGTCTGTGATGCTTTCTTTGACTGGAATCTGTGCACTTTCTGACTATTTGATGGCAAAAATGTAAATTATGCTCGAGTAAATTGAACCCCAGTGATCAAAACGGGTTGAAAAATGTCAATTCTCGTGATTTGGCGCTGGTGAGTTTCCTTTAGTGCTGGCTGAAGCCTTTTTATTATAATTTAAACCTTTGAAAACCCTGCACTGAGCCCGCTGCCGTTCGTGCTGTGGAGTCAACGATTTGCTCAGCGGTGGTTTTTTCCAAGACCCCGGCCAAGAGAGGAGGGCTGAGATAAAATGCAGAAGTTATTAAAAATGAATGGGTCCAGAGTGGACTCATTCAGAGGTACTTGAACTATAACTGGTTGAAGATATTCAGACATTTGACGAGGGGGAAGTGAGGAATTGATAACAGCTTGAGAAACTGAGTGAAGTATTTCTTTAAGGAGGCGAGTTGGACGTCGTAAACAGAAGGATGGTTTCAACCGTTTGAGCACAAAGCTAAACATCCAGTTCTGTCATTGGCTCCTGATTTAAAGCAAATTGTACTGGGACCTGGAGAAAACCTTCCAAACAGTCAACCAGTGGCTCATTTATTCAGTTTCAGAGTCTTTACGTTCATTGTGTCTGAAACAAGTGGACGCATCGCAGCAGAAGAAATGTGCAGATATGAGTTATAGATAATATGAACCCACACAGGAAGAGAATGTGTGCTTTTAAGTAGAAAAAAAAAAAAAAAGAAATCCCACCATCAAATGGGATTTGCAGTGAAAAACTGTCCTCCTGGAATCTGCTTTCTAGTTTTAGCTCCATCTTACTGTGTAATTCCAGCAATAAGCGTATGAAGGTGTTGTGCAGCCGTCTGGGAATACGACCGACAGTATCCTTGTGTCTAGACTCTACCCAGCATCCTTCCTGAACCTCCAGGCCAGGTGGGCCGCCGTCTCAGCCCACAGGAACCTGAATGTACTCGGCGTGGAGGTTGAGGATCGTTCACTCACACTGACATTGCACATTATTTATTGAAATGTATTTTAAAGGGTTTTGTTGTTTTGGGTGCCAGGACGTTCTCTAAACTATACATCTCCCCAGAAACAAGTTGTTTAGCTGCAACTTGGAAACCAGGCCAGTAATAATTCAGAGTGATGCTCTTTCCCAGTGGACTCCAGTTCAGGGTCGTCTCTGCCTTTCACTGTTTTCCACCAGTTTATCCACCGATCCAATCAAAAGTGCATTTCCTATTTTTTCCCAGTCAGACCATCCTCCCATCTTTCCAGGTCATCGTGTTACAGCGACTGTCTCCTTCAAGAGCAGAACAGTGGAATTTCCCATCTAACAGCAGATATTTAACACCACAGGCAGAAGGCGTAGAAACCCCCCAGATTAAAGACACTGTGCTCTTTGTTTTTCTTCAAATACAGAATAGACGGTACACTGCTCACTTTGATTTGTGTGACTAATTATGTAAAATCAAACAGAACTCCAGGATCTCCTTCTTTCAGCCCGCGTCCGTTAACCAGTTTAGTTTTCATGGTGAATGGTGTTGATGTGTTACCACTGTTGCTCCAGATACAGCGACAGGGACGACGTAGCATCGCGGTGGACCGAGAGGCTTTCATTAATTATGGTGTGAAACCCCAGCGTAGGAGTTTTTTGTTGTACGGCGACCGTAACCGTCTCTGTTTACGGTTTCAAGCGTCTGGGGTCGACTTCGCGGACACATTTTAGAGACCAGCATTTGCTCTAAGATGCAAGTTACAAGACGGTTTAAAAAAAGATAATGACCGACTTATTTTAAGCTGAGAAAGTCAACCCCCGACCCTCAGGCTGACTTAGAACTGTGTTTCCTTGGTAACACTCGGAGGCACAAAGAAGACGTGGCTCAGAATTCAGGGTTTGCGGATAATATTCTGCAGCGAGCAACAAGGCAAGTTTTTAAAGAGTGCAGTGGTCCACTCTGTGCAGAATTGTCTCAGTGAAATGTTCTTGTTGCTGTTAGATTTGGTTGGAATCCGAGCGGTTGTTCGGTCTGCCGTGTTTGTTTGGGAAATAGTCCCACGTAAAGCTGAGGTAGGCAGCATGGTTCTGGGCCAGATTTCCAGAGAAGCCTTTGAGCTGGTAGAGGAAACTAGACTTCCCCACCTCCTCTTGTCCGTATTCAGGCTTTACAAAGTCGAAGTGGGTTAAGCTGAGGACTCCCCGTGTGAGGTTGAAAACGTTGACGCTGCAGCTTTAAGATAAACAGAAAAGTTCAGATGTTTAACTAAAGTCAGACTATAAATTAGATCCAAGTCCATCTCTGTGAAACCAACCCCATATTGTAAGAAACCAAAGTGTGTGGCCGACCAAAACGAACTAATAGGACTAGTAGCAGATACACGTCAGTACGGTGCTGTAACTCAGCACCAGGTAGTCAAACACTCAGTAGAGGAGTTTCTTTTTTCTTTTCTTTTGTTGTTGTTGTGAGCTTCAGTTTGTGTTTCCAGAAATCTTAACACCACACTGTCTGTTTTAGTTCCCACAACATGCTCTGAATTTTCACCCAGAAATGTCAGACGACCTGCTTTCCTTTTCCTCGGTGTGCTTACAGCTTGTATGACACGTGAAAAGTGTGTGATTGTGTACGCATGCATGTTTTCTATGCCGAGGCGTAACTCTGTTCAACACGAGCTCCTCACACACGTCCACACCTACACGCTGTGCGACCATTCAGAGAAGCCAAGCTGCCCTCATTTGTACAACCTAATGACTTTTGTGAACTGAAAGGCAAATGGATGAAAGCAGTGCTATGAAATGATTAAAGGACTATTTGCTTACTTGTGTTTTCATTGTGACTTTATTTGTTTTTTATTTTATACAGTGAGAACTTTTAACACGGGCTCATCAATGGTCAGATCGAGTGTTTTTGCAGTGTGATGGGTATTAATCAAATAACACTATAAAACGTCCATCCATGCATCATCTCTACACCTTAATCCTCACTAGGGTCATGGGGGGCTGGAGTCTATCCCAGCTGACTCAGGGTGAAGGCAGGTTCACCTGGACAGGTAACCAGTCTATCACAGGGCTACACTTAGAGACAGACAACCAAGCACACTCACATTCACACCTACGGACAATTTACAATCACCAATTAACCTCAGCATGTTTCTGGACTGTGGGAGGAAGTCGGAGAACCCGGAGAGAACCCACGCTGCACGGGGAGAACATGGAGACTCCACGCAGAAAGATTCCGGTGCCTCCGCGAACCGGCGACCTTCTTGCTGCGAGGCAACAGTGCTAACCAACTGCGCCACCCTGCAGCCCTTGACATGTCCAACTCCCTGAAAATATCAACATTTTCGCCAGTCCTGATGTGTGTGTGGTGATTTTGGTGAATTTTCGTGCATGTTTAGGTCCCTTAAAATCGCATTTCAAAAATTATCACAAGGGTTACAATAGGGTCACTGTAGTGCTCAGACCCTAACTGTGAGTCTCACGCCTCTACGTGTATGTAATGCTATACATGGCTGATAGGTGATGCAGTAAGGGCATCTGGTTACCGCCCTTTTCTCCGGTATAGGGGTCACAGTTAGGTTTTGATTTGTTTGCATTATATCGTTCAGGCGGCTTCAGGATCGTTCTGTCCCTCAGATGACATGTTCTCCTGGTGGTGTCTGGATGAGGTAGATCCTCTGGGAATGCCTCCAATGTCCCTGTAAATGTTGCTCCATGTAAATGTCTACACTCATACTCATCCTCTTCTTCATCCCGTTCTGGCCTGTCACCTAAACCTGCTCTAGTACCACCATATTCTCTCTGCTCATGTTTCGTTCTTACACTAAATTCATCCATTTTCTGTTCTTGTCTCGCTGATGCTGAGGTTAAGCTACCTGCTGACCTCCCTGCTTTGCTATCGGACTTACTGTTACCACTGTCACTTCTTCTCTCACTACTTTCAACTCTGTTTTCCTGGCGACTCAATTCCTCCTCTGTGTCCTGCTCTTTCTGCAACGCAGCAACACTTGCTGTTACCTGTTCTTTAAGTTCCAACATTCGTTCTTTTTCCTCCCTCACATACCGCACCATTTCTGTCCTCAGCTGATCTATCTTCCCCTGATCATCTGTTAGCTCAGCCTCTATGAGTCCCACTTGTGATGGTAAATAAGGGCATCTGATTGTTCGGTGGTGGTCGGGAGAGGCCTTTTGGTTTTTTGTTGGAGTCTTATCAGGTTTACGCTCCTCTTTTTCAGGATCCGGGCCTCGAGCTTCTACATTATTGCCGTTAGGAGGCTGATCTTGGTGCGCTCTGATACCATCCATCGCTCCACATGTCAGACCCATGTTGTGAATTAATTGTTTGTGTGCCTCTTTGAGTTCCTGCATCACTTTTCTCTTTATTATTAATCCTGACTGCTATTTTCTGTTTCTATATTAGTTTTTTGTTCTTCCTTCATTAATATTTTGGTGAAACTTCTTTTAACTCTCGGTACTTATGTTCAATAAATAGATTAGTCAACAGTTCTGCATGTAAACTGGTATAAATCCTGACTAAAATGTTGTTTTTCACGGCTCGGTGTTAATAATTACTCTAACAAATAAAGTGCTGAATCTGCCCATTGTCACTGTGGGCCAAAGTTCCAGTTTAAACGACCTCCTCGGCTCTGCTGCCCAGTGCTGCTCAGCTTTCACTCGCGTTGATAGGTGTTTTTTTTGGCAGGTGAAGGTGCAAATAGTACGTAGCCTTATTAAAATAAAAGCTGCAGATAGACTCGTACAGACGGCTCATTAAATCAAGCTCCAGGTTGGACTACGTGTGTTCAGGTGTGAGTGGAGCCATGGAGGGTCTCTCATCTGACAAGGTGACCATCAAAAATCCAGCAGACATCGCCATCATTGTTGGATATTTCATCGTGGTTATAAGTGTTGGCATTTGGGTAAGTGCCCCCGAGAGGGTCTGTAATTATCAGGAGATGAGGGCTGAATGAGATTTATACATTAAACCGCTATCATGTTCAAGTAGAGGGATGTAACGTTGTATTTGACAGTGACAGAACTTCTCTGTGTTCCAGTCCATGTTTCGGACCAACCGTGGGACAGTTGGAGGATATTTCCTGGCGGGACGCACCATGACCTGGTGGCCGGTGAGTTCAGAGGAGAGCGAGACCAATAAATGTACAGTACAAGCAGTTTGTTGGCAGGAAATGACAGGAAGCTGCAGAAATGCTACCGATATTGTATGTCAGAGTTCATTCAGACAAAGCGCTGCCACATTCCTACACTGGAGCTGACAAGTTCACTTCTAAATGTAACGTCCATCCGCTGATAGCTATCCACCAGCTGTACACTGTCTGACCTGTAGAGGGATGCAGCAGGAAGCTCCCGGCTGACTTGGGCAACAGCCTGGACAGGTCACAGTCCATCACAAGGCTCGGTTTGGGTTAAAACATGCAGAATCAGCCTGCTTTAACCTTCCAGTGACAGGTGTCATGTAAAGGACAGGTTCACACTTTTTTTTGTGTCAAAACAACTGGCATGTGTTCAATGAATGCTGTTGCTTGTCGTGATCATTCTCCCAGTTTATTTCAGACATTATTTAACAGCTGATCTAATGCGAATTTTCCCCTTTCCTTTGGTACATCATAGCTTTAGAAGATGTACAAACTTAACAAGGCCACACAAACAGGAAACTCTGCTCCTCACCTGTCCAGGCTTTTCTTGTGTTACACAGACATCATCATGTAAAGTATTTGCATAACGCCTGCCTGGCGGTTCGTTTGACCCTCACACAAAAAATGAACTGCTAGTGATACGTCGCTCTGCCTATATGCATAGATCTGGGGTTACAATACATAACCAACATTACCTCGCTTTTGTCAAGCCAATCGGAGCAGACTTGACTTTTCAGCAGGGGTCTTTAAAGAGACAGCAGCGTTTCAGACAGAGAGTGAGAAGAGAGGCTGCAGCAATGTGCAGTATGAGAAAGAAAAAGGTTTTTTTGATCATTAAAGCATGTAAACATATTATAGTTGACACCAAAAAATCAAAATGTAAAACCTGATATGCACATAGTAGGGGCTCTTTAAAATGTAAGTAACTGGGGTCAAACGCCACACTCCACATTTCAAAACTGATTTTTTAAACTTTTTTTATTATTAAAACTGATGTTAGGTTCAGCCATCCATATTCAAAAAGTGCATATGTTCCAAACTTACAGCATCTTTAGTACAACCCCCTCTGCTTGTTATTATTCCTTCACTGCAGCGCTGTGAGAAAACACTGTCCCATAGACAGACAGAAGTCTGTTAAACTGTAGACAATTTTATTTCCCTTCAGGTACCCTAGTAGCATGTTAGGGAATGTTTTAAAGCACATGTGTAAGATTTAAGGGGATCCATCAGTAGAAATGGAATATAGTCCTCATAATTATGTTTTCATTAGTCTATAATGTCTTGATTGTTTTCTTTATTCTTTATATCTACACAGAGACTCGGTCTTCTTCCACTGAGATAATTTCTTCTACAGTAGCCCAGAACTGATGAACCAAACTCTGACTGTAGAGACGGACTCTGACATATTTATGTTGAAATACGTCCACTACAGGTTCTCTATACGCAAAGAGAGGAGTGATGGAGTTGGCTTCAATCTGCAACCTCACCACTAGATGTCACTAAATCGTACACATTGCACCTTTAATGGAAGAATCATTACTCCAAGTAATGCCTGTTTGAGTGCTGATATCAGCACCTTACTATTGACCCTTTAACCCGATCCATGCTTCAGGTTGCTGGACCAGGACCAGACTGTATCTCTGGTAAAAAGCCATTTATTGTGCGGCACATTCACTGAAGACGCTGCCTCATCTACTGTGACTGAAATGGATGTAGCGTTGGTTATGGTTCATTTCAGTGGCGTCAGATTTGGTACAAATTTTCCTACTGAGTTTAAATGTTTAATATTCCACTAGCATCACTTTTGTAAGACTCTTTAATTTACAGTTTTCATGATGTATTGATGAATAATTTTGCCTGAGTTATTCTGATCTCACTCCGGTCCAGTGATCACAAGGTGACTTTTTTGTATTTCAAAGTTCTCCCAAATTTTTCTCATCCTTTGGGCCCAGGGATGGTTTTTCAGGTAGAAATTTAAGAAAATAGTCAAGGGGCTTAAAGTTAATTGGTTCTTGTGAAATAAATCCAAATGATCCAACTGTTTGCATCCTTTCATTCCTAATGAGCAGCCAGATGTTGTGGCTGCTTCCCATAAAGCTGCTGTATCACTTGTAACACGTTTTGCAGGTTGGTGCAGGACCCAGACTTTTTGTGGGACAATATGTTTTACTGATTTCTCTCTTTTGTGTATTTCTGTTGGTCTCATTGTGTCTGCGCCCCTGTGATAGGCGTTGATGCGTTTTCATTGTGCTCTTTTTGCAGGTTGGTGCGTCTCTGTTTGCCAGCAACATCGGCAGTGGTCACTTTGTGGGTCTGGCCGGCACCGGGGCAGCCAGCGGCATCGCTGTAGGAGGGTTTGAGTGGAACGTAGGTCCCTTTGTGTTCTGACATCTCAACTCTGCACCAGAGCTCTTCATACAATACAATAATCCAAAGCTACTGCTGGTCTGGTGTCTAAATGTGTCCTGTGCTGCTGTGTGTTGTCGGTGTGATCTGTCAGGCTCTGTTCATCGTGCTGCTGCTGGGCTGGCTGTTTGTACCGGTCTACCTCACAGCGGGGGTAAGAAGTTCAGACTGCATGATCCTTCCAGTCAGCTGTAAGATTCAGAACTCTTTCACCAATGAGATGAGACGATGTGTTGTGTTAGGTGATCACGATGCCACAGTACCTGAAGAAGAGGTTTGGAGGGACCAGAATCAGCCTCTACCTGTCTGTTATCTCACTGTTCCTGTACATTTTCACCAAGATATCAGTGAGTCACCCAGTGAGAGCACGCACAGTCAGAAAAACTGTATATATTGTGTGTATTTGTGTCTTCATTCCCTCTCCGTGTCTCTCCAGGTGGATATGTTTTCCGGAGCTGTGTTTATCCAGCAGGCGTTGGGGTGGAACATCTACGTGGCCGTCATCGCGCTCCTGTTGATAACAGCTCTGTACACCGTTACGGGTGTGTTTGCAAATGTGTGTTTCTTTGTGTATGTATGCAGTAAATCTAGGCTGAGATGGTGGAAACTACAAAGAAGATTTAAAGAAAAACATTTTGGGAACTGAAAGTGCTTTGGTAGATGGCAACTGGACTTTTGGTATTTGGTCTTTGGTACTTATTCTCACCTCCAAACACATGGGTCATGGCCCGTTATTGACCTAAATTTTGCATGACCGAAGGTGTGAATGGCTGTGAAACTAACTGGGGAGGCATCTCAAGACTGTGTCATAGGTACGCGATAAGTGTTGTTGTATACGTCCCCTGATACTTTGAGTACCGTGGGTGTTGGGGCATGAACGGGGCAGGAGCCGTGGGATTTGGAGGTGAGAATAAAGACATGAAAGTCCCCACCAGTCAGCTAGAACTGAGGAATCCTCTTTAATGAGAAGTGAAACATCTTCAAGAACTGAGAAGTTCATTGGTTTTCTACTGAAGCACTGAGAACTACCATGACCTGATGACTGAGAATATGCAGTGACTAAATGAAGTGAGGCTTCAGTGACTTTAGGGCTTTTCCTATAATAGGGACCAAAAATCAGGGAATCAGAGCTTCTGCTGCCTCGATTCTGTTGAAAAATACTTTTCATTGCAGGAATACTGTTTTTGATTCTCAGGAACTGGTTTGTTATTGCATGCATTTACAGATGTGTGTGTTCCCAGGTGGCCTGGCGGCTCTGATGTACACTGACACAGTCCAGACCTTCGTCATCATCGCTGGCGCCTTCGTCCTCACCGGTTTCTGTGAGTACAAACTTTACAGCGTCGCATTTAATTCTAATTACACAACGTAACACACAGTTTGTGTTTTTGGCTTCAGCCCTCCAGGCTCGTGTCTCCCAGCAGTTTCACAACAGGCAGCAGGTTAACCAGGGTCTGTAACCATTAATGTCACTGCGGAGGTGTTCGGTACGCTGACGCTGCAGAGGTGCAAAAGTCTGCACCTACAGCAAGCAAAGAACACCTCCAGCAACCCTATCGATTTCTTTAATACAAAGGTTAATATATATGGGAGTGTAACGACGTCCCAGAAGGAAGCAGACAGATAAACGTGAGAGAGGAAGCGGCCTTCTGAACCTCCTCCCCTCCTGAACCGGTGATGCATTGAACAGTTAGTGCTGACTCAGCAGCTGACTCACATCTTCAGGATGATCTGAGACAACAGTGGAGGTCTGGACTGTTGAGCTGAGTACAGTATGAACACAAAGCATTTATTTCCCAAGAAAAGAGTCCTGTTTCACACTCAGGGAATACAGGAGTCAATTTAATGTCAGAATGAAGCTCTGGATGGTCGATAGCACCGAGGTCGAGCAGAACGTCTGTGTTGTTTGTGTTTTGTTTGCCTTTAAATGATGAGGATCTCTGTCTGTCTCCGTCTCACCTCCAGCCTTTGCAGAAGTAGGAGGCTACAGTGCTCTGCTCGCCAAATACAGTTCTGCTATACCGAGTAACTTCACCTCCCTGCACCCCCAGCGCTACAACATCTCCCCCCACTGCTACTACCCCAGACAGGACGCCTTCAGCCTGCTGAGGGACGCCACCACGGGGGACCTGCCCTGGCCCGGGGTGCTGTTTGGGATCGCAATAGTGGGAGGCTGGTACTGGTGTACGGACCAGGTGAAGTTTGAGTTCCTACCGGAGTGACACAAGGAGCCGGTGCTGGTGCTGCAGGTTCACACTGACCGTCTAGCTTCTAGCTGTCCTGGTTTTAGAATGTTAGGTTTCTAGCAGACAGTTGTAGGTGAGCTTTGGAAACGTTGCTGCAGATTTGCATCAAGATCAGATTAGATTTGTGGCAAACTTGGACTTGTGGATAACTTTATGGAACCCTATCATAAACAGTCCAATCTATTCGCTATGTGCACGTCACAGGGTCCGATCACAGCGAGCACTGAGAAAATGATTCATGCTCAGTGTCACACCTACGACCAGTTCAAAATCGCCATTTAACCAACGATGCACATATTTTGGCTGCGAGTCCTAATTTACACATTGGTGAAAGTTAACTGTCTAGTTACTGAACAACCAGAAATGACAAAGATAAACTAAACATTTTTGCCTCTAATGTTGTTGCCAAATGGTAACTAGAACTTTAGGACTGTGCTGGTGAACCACTAGTGAACATATTTTCCACTCGTGGCAAACTTCTGTTGTTGGAAGTTTTCCGCTCTGAGCAAATGCTGGCAGACTTTTGTCAACATTTTCTGGAAAACAAACTTCTTCCCCACAAATCTGCAGCAAACATTTTACAATATCAATCAAAATATCATATTAAAATGAGAAAGTCATAAAATGTGTAATAAACTAAACATACCTGCAGATAAAAAACAAACTACAGTGAATGTCCTCATGAATGTGCTCCCTGTTCTTCTACCAATATGTTTAACATACGAGGACCATGAGCAGGTCCCATCTTTAGTGAAACCTGCTCTAAGGAACAACTATTCTTGTAAAT